CATTGCAAATGTATTTGTCTTATCACCTATTAAACAATATGATGGCACTAATCAAGGATGGCCCCTGTCTTCTCTAATCTTTAACTTGGTTTTTGAATATGTGGCTTCTTTCATTAGACAATCTCAGGATATGCAGTTTGTGATGACACTTGATATTGACATTGAATGCAAACTGTTCGTATAGATAGATGATATCAAAGCTAGTGTGGATAATTTTTCAGTTCACTGCCAAAGATATAGGTAATATGGTTTATGTTCTGGTTATACCAACAGCTAGGAAAAGTCTAGTCTGTTTCCTCGGGGATCTAAAATATCTATTAGTTGATATCTATCCATTAACTGATAGATAGATCCACACATACTTTACAGCTCAGGAAACTAGGGAGGATCCCTTGCTTGCCTTAGTCATATTCCTGCTGTGGGCTAAATTGCCTGTTTTCTGACATTTCCCTTGGCTGCGTCCTGTTTCCCTGCTTCCCAAGGACATTTCCATAAACCACTACACAAACAAAGGATAAATACTTTAAATTGGTTGACTTATAATGATTATTTTAAAGTTTTTGAGAAATCATGTTTGGACTATGATTTTCTAATAGCTTATGCTTAGCACTACCTACAGTTGAAACATGTATTCATAAAACAATGTGCCATAGCAGCTTCAAAGTTGCCTTTACCATGAAACCGACAAATGGGATTTAAAAATAGGTTGTCGATTAGCATTAATTATGTTAACTGAAATGTGGAATGAAAGATCTTAAAAAATGAAAGGGTGCAAGTCTTAATAAATGTAAAATATGTTTATTGATATAGATGAAAATGAAGACGCTTCCTGGCCAGTCCAACACTGGTGTACATAAAATCTGTAGATGACTAGTCAATTTGTGACTTTCCTTTCCAGATTTGAGGCATATTATGGTCTTTTATATGCAACAGTGTCCACATTTTCACTTGACCACAACTCAAACATACCTTATTCTTTATTATGCTGAAATTCCTGAAATTCCCCTAGATTTCTCCAGCCTATAATGGAAACAGACTTAAGTTGACCTTAACAACCTTTTCACCAGTGGGTCAATATATACATTGCCATATTTTATTCATTGTCCATAGACCAAGAGGAATCATCTTCTCTAAGCTACAGAGGCAGCAATCTTTTATTTAGTTACCAGATACTAATTCTCTCTGAATTCAGAGGAACTTATATCTAAAGAAATATGAATAATTCATTCAGCTTATGGTTCAAACAAACTGTGCTGATTCTTAGTTCAGCCTTTAGCCAGTCTTAATATATTGCCCCTCCAATAAGGCGGAGGTGCTTTATTTAAATATAATAAAATATTTTGCTTCAACTGTACAAGCATTTATTTTATGGAAGAAAAATGTAGCTGAAAAGAAGACAGAGAAAAGAATATTAAATCTCTCTATATTAGATCTTGTACCCTGGAAGAACTACTGTCCTCTTTCTGCATTTATTTTCTGTCACCTGGAAAAAAATTGAGAAGTTGGTATTTTTAAATATGTAGAATTAAAGAAGTCATGCAAAATGATGCCATGTTTTTAACAGTTTTTAAATTAATATCATAGCTAGTTGTCCATACATTTTCCTCCAAGTTGCTTAATTCTTTGCATAATTTAATACTATGTCTGAAAATAAACTTAGGATCTCAGAAGAATCAAAATCAGATCAAATCAACTTCATAATCAAATTCTCCCTTTTAAATTATGGTTTGAGTTTACATTTTTTTTTAGATTTCATAAAAAAGTATGTGGAGAAAGTTCCAATTAATCTTTTAAGCAAAATTTTAAAAGAAGTCTTTAATGTGTATCTGTAATTATGGGTGATTATGGTGTTTTATTGCCACTTGTAGCTTCCAGTACATTATTTTTTAGAACTTAAATGACAAGGGATTTTTGTTTTGTTTTGTTTTGGGGTTCTTAAATTTCTATGAAATTGTAACACTTGTCTTCAGGTGAGATTTAATTAAATCCTTTGAGCATTTAAGAAGCATTCCTGAAATGTTTGCCAGAAAAGTGACAAATTTACCACTTAGAAATTTATTGACAGGGCACATAATTGAAAAGATTGCATGTGAAAGATTTTAATGATTTTTAATAGATGGAGTGGCAGCTCTAAATGTGTTGATACCCATTTATGGAAATACCAAAGGATTATGTGAAGTCATTTTAATACACAATTGTGCAATCTGATTGCAGACAAGGCAGCTGGAGATTATAATATGATTCTTAGCTTGTCTGGTCATGTCTGCTATATACTGGTTAGAAACACATTTAATACTAATGCATTGGCATTTGGTGTTTTCCCCCCATCTATCTAATTAGTTTTTCAGGTTAAAAAAAATAAAGAAATGCCCTGGTTATGTCATCAGTAATTTGCCATATTGTCATTTATAATGATTAGCATCTGAATGGTTTTTCAAAAGATATATTTATTAATTTCTATCTTATCGAAGATTGAGCAATTGTGAAAATAGTCAAGATCAGGTTGTACATGGAAAAAGCAATATTAGTATTTTGAAAGAGTGCAAAACTTGGACTTAACAGGATCTAAATGTTCTACTCACCGTTGTATTTTGGAAGTGTAATACAGAGTACAATGCACATAATTTAATGTCTGTACCCTTTAAATTTAAGGACAGCATTTTTGCTAAGTGCAGCATTTTAAGATCCAAAGTCTCAGATAAAGCTTGTAGTAATATGATTTCTAAGAGAACTGATATAAAGTAAATACATGAGAATTCAGATAAACACTCAGGAGACAGTATTAATTTAGGGTGTTTATTATATATATTATAGCCAGGGATAATTTTAAAAATGCACAAACTTTGTATACAAATTATATTCTCCTCCCTGCCCCATTTTGTTTGATTGCTTTGCTTATATCTATTCACATCTATATTTTGACAGAATCTAAATGTGTAATGTCTTTAGAATTCCACAGGGTGTCATAATGTAGTTGTTGAATCCATTAAAGAAATATGATGTATGCTCTTTGGAAGAGTAATTAGCATTGGATATGAGAATAGAGAATGCATAATGTTATAAAACAGCAAACTGTTAATTTATTTACTGATTGCCTTTTTTCTATAATTCTGTATAATACCGTTGTGTGCACAGAAACATGAATTTAGGAAGCATCTGTTCACAAATTTAGTTTTTCTCTTTGCCCAGAGGAAGATGGTGATAGAATATTAAAGATACACATCAATATATTTTAATTCTTTTTTGTTGCATTTATTTTATGATTCAGTATGCTTAATGTATGTCAATTAAAAATATGCAAAACTATATAATTAAAAAATACAGAGTTGAATATTCAAATAATAATGATTATAGGCTCAAGCATCAACTATATTTCATGTATTAATATTTAGTAACTTTTTCAGGATGTTTTATTTTCTCTTATATACCTTATTGAACACCATTTGGTAGGGCAATGGACTGGAGAGCTTATACTGTCAAATGTCTCATTCAAATCCTTATCTTCTATTAAAGATTTCATTATATAAGGATGACAAAAACTGCAGTGAAATTCAGAAATAAACTTTTTACATAAATAAAATTTATGTAAATTGAACAGTAGCATTACCTCTGTCATTTTCTGAACCAATGCAATTATTTTGACTAGGATATTTTTTTCTTCTTATTTTTTTGTCCCCAAATACATAAATAAAAAATCTTAAATTTAAATTTAAATTTAAACAATCATTATGTACTGTTGAAAATAAAATGTAATAATATACTTCTTATATTGCTTAGATCTTTTTTACTATGTTGGAGCATCATAGACTAATAGTTTTCTTGTATCCGAATCTTTTTTCTTTTAAACTATACAGCAAATAGGTGCAACCCTCACTGCCCCCCATCACTTTAATGTATAAATTAATGGCATGATAAAATTCTGTCTCTTTGGGGTTTCTAAAATATCATATATTTGTAATTTATGTTAGGCTTTGTGATCTAAAAAATATATTGAACAGAGGGGTAAGCATTTTATTGCAAATGAATAACACCTGTCAAATATATTTCTTCAAATGAAGTAAATAGTTAATCAAATTGAATAGTTATGATTTATTGACAAAATAATACTACTCAAATCTTCTGCAGTCAGATTATTCCCAGCTAAGAGTGGGAAACTTGTTTTAATTTTTCATTATATGTCAGTTTGAATATAAAAGCTTATAAAGAAACTGCGAAGCATAGTAAGCCAATGACAATGTAACTATGCAACCATCCCACTGCAATAAAGTTTTAAAGTACCATATATGTCATTCATAAATTAGAATATAATATCCTCACCATTAATCTATACTGTATCACATCTCAGGAGGGCTCCAGATGATTTAATGGCATTTAATAGCTATATGGGACCATGCTAGATGATGTTTGAAAGCACCAATGAATGTAGAGGGTCACAGTATATGGGAATGCAATATTCTCCATTGGATTCTGTATACTTTGATTATTAACAACTGTTGGTATATCTACATCAGGTGTCATTATAAGATTGTTGGCACTGTGATGATGCCAGTAACGATTGAGTGTGATCAAGGGTACAGAAATGTAGATTTGCATCTTAAATTTTTGGGGGGATGAATCATTCTATTCAGTTGAGATATATGGAAACGTTGATTGGCAATAAACATGCTAAATAAGTGGCATGAAGGGAAAAAACTTTCCAGGTAATCTAGTAAGGCCGGATCACCTTTCAAAAGATCTACAGTACTCTTATTTTAGGTCCAGTCTTGAAAAAAAAATATGCTGTGTTAAATCATGTTGAAATGCAAGTCTCTTCCTTATATTTGACCAAAAAGCATGATACATTGATTTTAAATATAAATTTCAGTTCTAGTTCTGGTTTCAAGAGAGAAGCCACAAGCACGCAACATATGCTTTGTTTTGTTAGGATAGCATGACATCTTCAACCTTGCCTTTTGTGATAAAGAAATATTTCGTTATCTTGCCTCCCCTCCCCCCAAAAGATTGAAAATCTTCAGGAGCAACTTAGAGATAAAGACAAGCAACTAACTAATTTGAAAGATCGGGTGAAATCACTACAGACAGATTCCAGTAACACAGATACAGCTCTAGCTACCCTGGAAGAAGCCCTCTCTGAAAAGGTAGGTTCTCTTGTTTTCTTCTATAATTTCTTTTTAGAACTGGCTCAGATGTTCTACTGGCTGGTCCTTTGAACACAGAAATCTGTCCTAAATCAGAGGACCCCAACCTTTTGGGCACCAGGGACCGTTTATGTGGAGAGAGGTTTTTCTGTGGACCGGAGGGGACATGGTTTTGTGTGCTGCCTACATCCTATGGACGGGGCTTTGCTTGTTTGTGTAGCCCACTTGCTGGCATGTCATGGCCTGGTACTCGTCCACGGACTGGGGGTTGGGGACCCATGTCCTAAATGATCAACTTCAGTGGACAGTGTACAAAAATTGCAGAGATCTTCAGGATTCACAGATCCTGTTGGGGTTAGTAGAGATGTATTGTCTTAAAACACAACAAATTCATCTGCTAAGGTGCCAATCATGTATTTCTAAGTGTCTGGACAGCTAAAAGATTACAGCTTTGGCATCCTCACCCACAGTTCTGATTGGCCCAACAGTTTCATGATGGTAAAAATTTGAATTGTTGGATGTTGCTGCAAGTCAGGGCTTTAATGCATCCAGATTCAGAGCTTTTGGTCTCTGTGATTTAGTTCCTGTTTGCTTTTGTGAAAAAAAAAGGCATTAGATTAGACTTGTAAAAGGAGAGATATAAACCCAGGAATGCTTGCCAAACAAAATAAGACTAGAAAGGACACAGTGTTGCAATTTCATTTTTTTGTGGTTAAACATTGAAAACATGATATCTAAGAGCGTTTTAACAAGTGTAGTCACCACCTAACTCAAAGATACTACAGTTGAATTCCTCTTTGTTTTGTGTGTGTGAATTATGATGTTCAGTGTTTAATAGAATATGAGACTGACAACAGAACTAGGTTTCAGTCAGTAGAGTAGGAAATAGTAATTTTAACTAAAATGTACAAGTGTCGCTATGTAACCAAATTAATCTTAAGTGGTAACTTTAAACCTGCCTACAGAAATGTATAATATATGTGAGATATTTTTTCCATATGGACTGGAGAATTTGCTATTTTCCATTGTGCTTAGTTTCTTATATTTTTTTTCCTGTCCTGTCCTTTTCTTTTTAAAGGCTACATAATATTGTATATATAAATCTTTCCTTAATGTACACATTTTATGTAATTTTTCTCATATGCCTATATTAGTGTGCACTTTTCCTCAACATACACATTTGTATAGATTTTAAAATTGTGAGCTGCATTAAAAAATTAGAAAAATCTGGCAAGAACTGTATTCTAATTCATGTATCTTTGAAAAGTGCAAATTGGATCAGTTTGTGCCTAAATGTGAATAAAATGTTGTCCTTTGTCTTTGCTCTGCCATGTGCTGCACTGTCAAAAGATAGGATTGATTTATCCATATTAAGGTTACAAATGAGGTAGAGAAAATAGTTGCAATGTTGGAGAAAGGATGAAATACAGGTTTGTTTAAGTAGACTGGTTTAATTTTCTGTTTGGCCCTGATTTTCTTGAGGACTATCACAAGGACCCACATGAGACTCAAGTATGTATTTCACATTATTATGGGTCAAGAATGTTTTCCAGGTGGTAAATATTGGGAAAGCATAGTTAAAATAGTCAGTGCGGTTTATAAGAAATACATTAGAAAATCTTTGATTAGAGATAAATTAGGAAAGTATAATTAGTTAAATGTGGATTAGGATTTCTACCCCATTTGACCCACATCTTTTCTGACAGTTCACTTCTCCAAGAAACAAAACCTTTACTTTAAAGTTAGCAAAAAGAGAAGAGAGTGCCTGTATATAGCTTTTTGCACATGTTGTCTTATGTTCTGTCACTTGTTTTAGTTGTGTCTTTATTTATTTTTTTCTACAAAAGCTCTCATTATTTCACTTCCCCCCCAAAGAATAATTATTTTACATATGGTAACAAGTAATGTTAAGTATTACAAGAGCCTTTTTATCCTACAGTCTTATCAACTTTATCACTTTATCATTTTCTCTCCAGAAAAGGTTGTTCTCAAACTATAGTTAAGGGAAGCTCTTAATAAACTAGTCTAAGAAACTTTTCACATTCAAAATTAAGGATGGCCACTATTTTATAGTAAATGTGATGTAAGGATAATTTGTATTTGGGTAGAATGCAAATGATCACTTTCCTACAAGCCAGAAATCTAAGAAAATCTAGAATGTGAGGGGCAGTTGACTGCTGGACAGGTTTAAAAGGAAAAGAAAGCTATTATAAAATGTAAACACAAAACAAAACAAAACAAATAAAAAGAGATGGTGGTAGCTCTTCTCTACAGTCCTTCTGCACTTAAATATAGAGAAGGGCTTTTGCTGATGAATAACTTATGGCTAATGTTTTATATTCATATAACAATATTGCTAAATAAAGTTTAATTGTTCATAATCAACTGATCCTCCCTATAAATAAACAAGAGAATTTAATACCTTCCTCAATGTCCTCACGTATTCCATTTCGCCAAATAAATTATATGCCACAATACAATTGGGAAAATTATTATTTATTTATGTCTTTGTTAAATATTTATATGACTGCCCAACTCACATGCACCCAATTCTTCAAGCATTTTATAAATAAAAACTGGGGCTTATCTGAAACAGTTCGATATAGACTTTCCTTGGTTAAAGGGAAAATAGGATGGAAAGTTGGAATCCAGTAAAGGAAGAGCAATAACTTCTGGAGAAGGAATTCAGTTGCCACTTCAATAATTTTCATAAGAAGGATTACAAAGTGACACCCACATATTTGTTCAGACATATTGCTGATGTGTCAAGTCCATCTTCCAGGTACAGAATCTAAGAATGCATATGTTAGCCAGTAGATTGTTTGATAAGAAATATAATGGAAAACCTTTGCTTAGAGATAAAATAAGAATATCTAAATTTCCTAGGTTATCGATATTTTGGAATATTTCTCAATAGTTATAATGTATCAGATATCCTGGGTGCTAAGACTAAACTATCAGAGCCACTCTATGGAAACCCAGAATACATTTCTATGAAGAAAATTGGCAAAACTCACTAGATCTGTTGAATTCAAATCTGGATGTGCCTTGAGATTTATGGGCTGAGATATTGATAGGATATAGCTACTTCATGGCTTTAGGGAACAGATACAAGAAGTACTTCATCATGAACCGTAGCTGTTGATTTCTACTGTATGATGTGTTAGTATTTATGCATCAATAATAGAGATGTATCTATTTTGCGTACTTATTCTTTGGATAAAGTGAACCCTGACAAAATTAATGCTGAGAAACTTGTATTAGTTGTATATTCTTGTATTTAAAAGAATGGACAGTAAAGATCTTTAACAAAAGTAGGGACTCCTTGATTATATTAATTAAATATGGGTGCAACAAATTTGTTGTTTATTATTCTACTGGGCACAGGAATAAAGTGTGGCTAATGGTTCAGTATAGTTATTCAGTGAGAGTGGGATTGGTATTAGTGTTGCAATAATAATCAGTACTAAGTGAATATTCTTCCATTCTGTTAGATATGCAAGAAATATGTAAATTTGCCAGTATTGTATGTTTGCCTTAATTAGTGCAGTTCATCATTGCTATCCATCTAAGGCTTTTCAGCCTTTCTATAAAAATGCTTTTAAACTTCAGTAGCCAATAATGCCTGTTCTGTATCAACATTCTTATTTCAAGATCATTGGCATTAGAGATGATTGTTTTTCTATGTCAAAAATCTCCCAGTGTGTACACTTGGAAAGTCCCTTGACTGAGACCTGATTAGTTGGTTAAATAAATGGCTTCACTTGAACGTTAAATATCTCACAATAATATTAACATTAGTTATATATTTGTACATCTAGTATGATACATAGCTTTTGCCATAGTACTGATCAAACAGAAAGCACTTTTGTGTGATGTACCATATTGTACTACAGAAGAAAAGGGCTAAGGTTATTAGGGAAACACAAATATTTGCACACTCTTTTAAGAATATACCTTTCCAAGTGAAGTATGTAGTTTTTTCCTCTTGAGTATATTACTTGCTTGCCTTCTGAGAGAGGGATTGTTGCTTGGTTCCTCCTCTAGCATGTTAGGTTGGTCTGGAATATCACACTGATAATAATTATTTGTTCTTTTGAGAAGAGTGAAGAATTGCATTAGAAAGTTAAGTTTATATTCTTCCAATCCATTCTTACATTCTCTCCATTACATTCTTCCATTTATTTCAAGAGAGCAGATACATTTCCAAACCAAATTCTACACTCCCCAGCCTTGCATAGCATCTCACTAAGAACTCAGTAGATTACCTGTCTTAGACAGCAAAAGTGAACTCTCAAGCATCTAAATTCTCCCTCACCCAACATTTTAGTTGTTAGTCAGCACAACTGTGTTAGTCATACTGGAGGAATTCTGACCTAATGTGTAATTACTTCTATCGTGGCCTTGTTATGTATGCTTTGCTGTTGAGTGCCATGCTCAATTTTCTATCGAAAATGTAATATAGGGTATTTTTAGCTTCCTTTATGTTCTTAGAATTTTCAAGCTGCTGCTTCTGTTTTAAAATATAGCCATATTTTTATGCTTTAAGGAGAGAATTATAGAGCGATTAAAGGAGCAGAGGGAGAGAGATGACCGTGAAAGAACTGAAGAGATTGAATCCTTCAAAAAAGAAAACAAAGACCTGAAAGAAAAAGTTAATGCTTTGCAAGCAGAGCTGACAGAGAAAGAGGTTAGTATTTGCAACTAATAAAATGCTTTATTGTAGGGATTCAAGTGTTATAATGAATCAAACCTTTACAAGTAATGTAAATGTTATAAGTTGGTTATTAAGACTATTCATCATATTCCTAACCAAATAGTTTTGCAATCTTACAATTTTTATAAACAGTGTCATAGGATATAGCAGAATCCAGCCAACATTGGTTGTTCTAGCATAAGACAACAACAACAACAGAGTTGGAAGGGACCTTGAGGTCTTCTAGTACAACTCCTTGCTCAGGGAGGAAACCCTATACCATTTCAGACAAATAGTTGTCTAGTCTCTTTAAGCCTAAACATTATCCACAGAGGCCAACTTCCAAGGATGGCAATTTGTGAAACTTCTTGTCAGTCTTGTCTTTTTAATTGTAGACTGCTATCCTCAGAGATGAAGGAGGCAATGTTTTTTTTTCTGAAAAACAGAAAATCAATTACATTGAGGTTTCAAAATTTAGAATGAGGTTGCTGAGCGGACATGAAATATGCATTTTAATACACTCTACTTCCTTTTGCATACCTATTTTTCCTCTTCTCTATACCATGGTATATTCTTGCACCTTAAATATATTTGGTGTAGGAATAATTGTTACCCTTCATGAAAAAAAAAGTGATTCGAAAGAATCCTAGAATGACATAGCTAGACATTTGGTTCCACTGCTGTTTCATGCTCCCTGCTTGATGGTTAATTGGGTAGTTCAGAATAGGGAAATGTGGGCCAGGATCATACACAATAGTATCGAACAAGTCTATATGGTGGCTTTGACTGCTGGAACTGAAGCTCTCTTCCTTTTGTTTGACTAATAAAAAGCCAAAGAGGATTGTCTATCTGTTCTGCCTTCATGTGAACACATTGTAGGTAGCCTTCTTGCTTTCAACCAATAGATCTTGAGATATTGGCACTGGCTACTCATCAGAAAACAATATTTTTCACAATACAAATGTACCATGAAAGGTTTACTAGCAATTGCAATCAATTTAGTATCTTCTGGTAATCCTCACTTTGTCTCCTGTATCTTTTTTTTTCTAGTCTAGCTTAATTGACCTCAAAGAACATGCATCATCATTGGCTTCAGCAGGGCTGAAAAGAGACTCCAAATTAAAGGCTTTAGAAATAGCCATAGAGCAAAAGAAGGAAGAGTGTAGTAAGCTAGAAGCACAACTGAAAAAGGTAAGCATGATGGGGTATTAGTGGCTCTTGCTCCTAATTGCATGTTGGCATTTTTGTAGTGAAAAATGTTAGTGTCTGTTAGTTTCAAGCTCAAAATATTAATGATTTGAAATGTTTACATGATGGTTTATCAATTTTTCCACTGAAAAGTCTTTTTTGCTAGTTTGCATCTCATATATTGTTATCAAAGGATTGCTATAAGCTTAAAATAAGAACCATTTATTATTAGTAGTGTTTTAGATTTGTTCATAAGGGAAAAAACTTTTGATATATAATTGAGTATTGGACAGGTTGTTTAGCACATCTAATCACATTTGAACTAATATTTATCAAAATGACTTTTAGAATTACATTAATAATTTTCTATCATATCTTATTTATCCATATGTCAATTACTATTATATGTAGTCTTTGTTGAAAGACAAACTCATGGCATATTTCTTGATTTAAGTATCATGTTTGCCTTCCCCATTTTGTAAACAGCCACATTGCCAATGAATTAATGAAGGTATAGTGCTTTAACTGAAGAGGGAGAACTTAATGTTTAAATTTGGCTGTTTCATGGCTTTCATGATACCTTGGAAAGAAATTTATCATGCAGTTAATGACTGAAAACAAGGATACTGTTTTAGATTTTATGCACATTGTATCTGGGTAATCTTGCATTAACTTACCAAATAAAAGAATATTTTACTCTTTATACCACAGTTGATGCTTTGCGGTTGAAGATAGCATACTAAAAAACAAAATATATATTAAACCTAATCACCGTCAGCCAATTACACTTTGATATAAAGTAGTCTGCTGGTCTCAATATAGCACAAAGTACATCCAGTGCATCACTGTAGATTTGATATCCATAGCACACTTGGGCCATGCACACTATTCTTCAGTTATGTGTAGCAGTTATTCTTTCTTACAAATCTGCATGTTACTGCAGTCATGCAAGGCCTTCAGAACCTTTCTTGCTAGATTATGTTGCACTTGTTCTGGAAAACTAAATATGATTTTAAAGTGTTAGATTGTCCACTTCAAATAAATATCAATTATCATACAAGTTTTTTTTTCTTTAAACTAGAGTTGTCTACAACTCAAGTCCCAACTGTGGCTTTGGAAATAAGTCAGGAATTTGTGAAATTAGCAATCAAACTATTGACAATTGATATAGTTAGTGGGGAATATGAGTAGATTGGCATTTTTCCATGGAAGCCCTGTTTATACCTGGTTACAGCTGACCCACTTATTGACCATTAAAGGACCAGAATATTAAATTATCAAGACTTTTTACCTCATTCAACTTTGGTAATGTTTTGGTTGATTTAACTTAGAGCAGCATCATTTCTCTGCAAAATTTTAACCTAGAGAGTGATAAGGTTTTTGTTTTGTTTTTTGAAGTGGTACAGTGAAATTTTTTTTTTGGGTGAATGAAAAGAGAAGGCTTAATAAAAGCAAGAACTTCCCCCTCCATTTCATCATGTTATTATATCATAAAACTAGTATCTACATCATCTGAAGGAAAACATAGATTACAAATAATAATTATCAACAAATGATAATTTCTGATTGATATTTTATTTGGTTACATTAAATTCAAGTAATCATTTAGAAGAAAATGGTCATCCAAAATCTTGAAATTCAGACTTTTCAGTTTTAGAAAAATCACTAATTTTGGGCATTTAGTTTCTAACGATAGTGTCACCCGTCAAAATGTTTTAATTTCTAACACATATACCATTAAAAAAATTCCCTTAGAGCAATGAAAATTGATGGGTCTAGAAATTAAAGATATAAGAAAGCTAAACTGTTGCTGGTAAAAGCAATAGTAAAATGATCACGAGTATAAGGAATCATAAATAATTTTTTTTTCTGGAGTTAGTTTAAAAAGAAGAAATGCATTTCCCACCCCACCCCCCAGGTGTTGCTATATTTTAATTTTGGGAAGTCAGGAATAGATCAAATAGAACCTGAATTAATCTTAGGAAAGCATTATTAAAACAAGACCCATCGAATTCTGAGGCTTCATCTTCCACCACTGTTTGAAATATAGATCTGAAGGTTGGGATGGGAATCCTGATGAATGTTTCCGATGCAAAGTTAGTTACTGAGCTGGAAAGAGAAATTTGAGTGGCAGGGGCCACACAATTAAAGCCTTGCCCATAACACACATAAAAAGGGGCATGCCAGTCATGGCTTCCATCTTGACTTTTTTGACCCCCTCCTGTGGATCCCTGCACTGGGAAATGGTATCATACTTGTGAAAGCACTGGTGATACATGCATAGAACTCTTTGGCTCCTAAAGTTAGGAAAAAAAAATGACTTGTTGATATTTATTTCAGAAAATGTCTATTTCCAATGTTATATCATTACCTTTATATTTATCAGCTATAAGTTTCTATCACTTGTTAGATGTGGTCACTAAGCCATACACTATTTTATATTCAAATAAAATGGAAATTAAGTTTTATATTAATATGAAAAGAAAGCTCTACATTTAACAATAATGTCTAATTAATCTTTCTTATTACTATCTTGGAACCTTTGATGATAAATTGCAGCCTTGGCCAAAAAAACTTCTAATGATTCATTACTGGAAGCCAGCACTTAATGTATCATCAGCGGTGGACAGTTTTCTGTATTTCATGGATTATTTCATTTGAGAAAGAGAAAGTAACACAACCCTTGGATTTTGTACTCTAGCCATTCTTTTCTAAGAGCCAAAATCAACATTTATTTTTCTCTAGAGCTTCTCACATCCAGTAAGGAATGCTTAGAAACTTAAAATTTCTTCTTTTTTTAAATTCCACATTTTTTCTGTGCAAATATGCCAGTTTTGCTAAGCTAATACTGTTTTCCTGGATCTTTCCTTCTTTTCCTGTCTGTGCTTCATTCTTCCTACCTTTGCAATGTAGCAAGCTGAACAATTGTTCAATCAGATGTACAATCCCGTAAGTCCTTTCAGAAAGTCTCCACTGTAGCTTATAAAAGCATGAGGATCTATTTACCCATCACCATGATGTTCTATTCTTCCTCCGTAGAGCTTTGCAGAACCTATGATGGCTTCATTTGCACTGTGTTTAATTAAGTGGGCTTTGTGGACTTTAAGGCCAATGTTCTTTTTAAAATGGTATTCATAAAAAATTGGAGAAATAAAACTTGCATACAAAGTTTGTATTGCCTTCAGGTCCTCAACAGCTTAATTGTAAGAAAGCATGCAAATATCAAGCTTTATTGTTATTTTACTATTATGCTTATGGCATAATTTATTAGATCCTTCAAATTAAATGTAAGCTTTGGAAAGTTATTCACTACTTCTCAAAAATATTAATAAATGCTGTTATCCTGGAACAAATGATATTGTATAACATACATTGGTTAGTAGATAGTTGAATATTAGGTATAAAGAAGATCAACGTCCAGCATTTGTAACATAATTTAATTCAATATTTGTCCATAGTTACAGATCCATGGCAAAGTCTGTATCTACAAAGTTAGCAAAAGTAAAAGAAATGGACTACAAATACAATATAATAATAAAACATCCAGGTGTATACAATCAAATGGAATTGTAATTCAGGGCATCACTTAGGCCATTATATGTTGCTTACACTTTGTAGGAGAAAAGCCTTCTTAGTCTATGGTAGCCTCAAATCAGGAGGAGTTTGGTAGCAACCATTCTACCTACAAAAATTATTAAAAGCCATCAACTCATGAAAACTGATGCCTTTTAATAAAATCTGTTAATTAAAAAAGTGCTACCAGATTCCTCGATTTATGGCAGAAAATGGAAACTTAATGTTTCTCTAATAGCTTTGCTTTTATTTGCAATAAGTGGCATTAAATATCTTTGCTTGCATCTACCAAACATTTTGCCAGAATAGGATTGTAAAATGTACGTGTGCATTTCTATAAAAATTACATGAGAAAAGGGATAATGATTGGATCTATTCCAGATGAGCAGGTGTGCTTTTCATACAGCTGCCTCTGAAAGAGCTTTCATTACTGCAGGTGGCACAATGTTACTTCAGAATCTTGCAATCTTTGGAACTCTTTTAAAACACAAGGGTAAGCATACCAGCAAGACTTTTGCTGAAGTGCACCTAGCTGAGAGAATGAAATAACCAGTGGGTATTTCAACCAAAGAAATGCCATCTTGTTTCCTTTTAAAGACTTAAGTTTTATATTTATGTATTCAGCAACTTTAAAAAAAACTGCCGATGAATTGTCTGGCTTCTTAAAGGCTTGTTAATGTTATCGTGATAGATGTTGGAGGGTCTATGACAATTTGCCATGGCCAACTTGCCACGGGACAACTCCCCAAAGCACAATTTGCTGTGGGACCAGAGTTACATTAATATCAAAGAAATAGTGGAATAGAATCATTAAAGATAGGATGCAAAGGGAGAAACAGAATACAATGTGAATGGCAAAAATTAAAATAATTTTTATTTATTTTAAATAATTAAATAGAATTGCTAAATTGTCCCGCAGCAAGTTGTCCCATGGTGAGTTGGCCACAGCAAGTTGTCCTATTCTGATGTTGGGAAGCACCCAGCCTAGCACGAAGGAGGGATCAAGCACAGAGCTAACCTGGAGTCACTGTGCAACCACAAAAGGCTAGGCCCAACCCCACCCCCAAGTTCCTTGGAATCTTATCTAACTGATCCCAAGAATAGGCTGTAGATTGGGGAGATTCTCGTATTATAAGTGGTACATAATAAAATAGTTAGCTTGAACTCTGCATCTGTGGGTCTAGTTCTCTGTGCTTAACACATTGCATAGAACATGTTTCAGTGATTGGGTGAAAGTAGAACATACAGCGTTCCAAATCTGAAAATCATTTTTGAGGAAAAAGTATGTTTATGTACATACATTATATTGATGAAAGCTGTTTTCCTATATACATAGAGCTATATTAATAATGATAGAACATCATGTTATAGTCTCCTATATTATAAAATTATGTTTATTAAAGTTTTGTAATTCTAGTCTGAAAGTAGGACATGTCTCTAAGCAAATTATGTGTAATATACAGAAGTATTAAACTCTCTCTTAACACAGGACCAAATTCTAGTAATAAAAACACTGAATGACTAAACAAGAGGTTTTTGTAATCATTCACTTATTCAAAACTACCTTGTAATTATATTAAGTATTGGGTAGGATTAAGTTCATATAAAACCTGGAATTATTCTTATTATGCCCTGCTGATTGGGTGGGTCAGCCTCTTTTTAGTTACTTCAACTGTTCCAGGCTTGAGCTGGAAATAAATCATCAATAAAATCCAACAAAAAGTGGATTTCTAGCAAGATAAATTTTGATGAATAGCAAATGACTGTGGTTGCCCCCAAAAGATAGAAATGAGATAATTTCTCATCTAGGACTACTCTCTGAACTGGGATGTTTGTAAACCACAAAGAAAGAGGGCTTAAAATTACTTCTCATCTGAAGCATTCTAAGATCTATTTCATTTAAATAAGATTTCCATCGTCTTATTTAAAATATGAAATCTATCTGGAGCCACTACGAAAGTGAAAAAGATGTGTCATACACACATTTCCCCACAATAGAAAGGTACGTTATATGGCCTATAGCAAACATGTCAAGCACAAGGCCCGGGGGCCAGATGCGGCCCGTGAAATGGTTTCATGTGGCCTACGAAGCCATCCTGGAAACAGTGAGGGAACGGCCCCCGCTGCCTTGGCCCTGGCCCAGGCCGGCTGGGAGCCAATGTACAATTTTGTGGTGGCCATCTATGCTGAAATGCATTCAGTCTTAGCTCCACAAGGCTGTCTGGAAACAGTGAGGAACCAGCCCCTGCCGCATCAGCCCCATCCCTTTGGTGCATGCTGGGGAGATGTCACCCTTTGTGAGGAATGAAGAAATGCATCATCACCTGGAAGTGGCCAGCAAATGGCCCTCGCCTACTTCACATATCCAGCCTGATGGGGTCTGGAGGAGGCATTCTGGCAGGCAACAGGACGCTCTCCTCACAGTGCTGAGAGGCTGAGCTGGGCGGCGCAAATCCAAAAGAAATGCGAGGCCACCCAGCTTCCAGCCTGCCCAGTTTCAACAGGCAGTGGGCGCTCTCCTCACAGCGCCAAGAGCTGAGCTGGGTGGTGCGAATCTGATGAGAAGTGCAATGCTGCCTAGCCCCAGCCTGCTCAGTTTCAGCAGGCAGCAAGGTGCAAAGTTGGCGAGCTTCGCACTGCCTGGCTCAACCTCTCGGTGCTGTGATGAGAGCACCCCACTGCCTGCTGAAACCACACCCACCCAGTATGCCACACCCACTCCATCCATGTCCACTCAGTAGGCTGCACCCACCCTGGCCATACACACCCAGCCCCCTGAGGGCAATCGTAATGCTGATGTGGACCTCAATGAAATTGAGTTTGACACCCCTGGCCTATAGAAAGGCATTTAGCAAGGTTTAGCCTGCCTACTGTTTCTGACAAAGAATCTTAGCGTGACTCAGGGCATAAATACATAAATATCCCCTTAAGAATCTGAAAGATTGTGTGAACTGCATACAAGATTCCCTTAAGAGATCCTGCGAGTAGTGGATGATGGAAAGAGGTTGACATAAAAGTTATTCCTAGTGCAGCTTATAATTTGCAAACTGTTCTCAGTTCCTCAGCCCTCCCTTTTGCTTTAAATGCTTCCAAAAATTGTACATTTATTTAAATTCAATTATCATCGCTATGAAACAGGGTCAGTGTGACATAGATACAAGAGACCCCATCCTGGCTGAGAGGTTGCATGCCACTATTTGATTTTCTGAGTATAAAACCAGAACTTGACATTTCTCGCTAGCAGGTCTATGGCTAAAATAAAACATAGTTTGGCTCAGGAAGCTGCCATAGCAAAAGGTGAACAGTGAGATAACTAATCTAATACATTGTTTTTAGACAAGTTCTTAATCAGGATATTCTCCTTAACAAATTGCAACTCATCAGATTTCCACAAATGATTACAATATATACTATTTTTGAAATGATATAATCCAGAAGGTCATCAAGCCCAACACCCTACTTCAAGGCAAAATAATTTTACTTAAAATGGAGATTTTTTTCAGAGCATTATTCTGTCTTTCCAATAATTTTCTACCCAGTAATTTGAAACATCAGTTCTACAGTGAGATTCTGTTAACTTTTCTGGAAGCCTTGTACACGAACTGTTGCAATGTGGTTTATATTGGATTGTCTCAAATATTACTGAGAAATTGTTCTTGAGCCAGAATATAGTAGTATGAACTGTTATTGGCAGGTCTCATAATAGCCATGTAAAGTATCTGCTCTACAAGTTGCACTGCTTAATAGCACAGATCATTATTCTTAATAATAATAGCAGACTTCTATATGCAATTATCACCTATAAAGCTTACACAGCATCATGCCTAGATTTCTGAGGAACTGTCTATAGCAGGGGTGTTAAACTGCCGGCCTGCGGGCTGGATGCGACACATGGAAGCTGCGCCCATCCCATTGCCGGCAATGGCAAAACTGTCCCGATATGTTGCGCAACGTCACGTGACGTTGCAGGTTTGACATGTCTGGTCTACAGTATCTTCCATGGTTTCTGCCCATCCTGTAAGATTAAATAGAGTTTGCATTTTCCAGTTCCCATCAATTAAACAATATCCTCTAGTAAGACCCATGCCTTCTCTCACACAGCATCTGCCCGCTGGAACAGCATTCCCTCAGAAATTTCAATTGTGAGTGGCCCAGAGTTGATTGCAGTTGGATAATGTCTTTAAGTTGAAGAAGTGCATTAAGTTAGACTGCTGCTCTGCACTTTAAATGAAAATCTACATCTTCTTAAGCCTTGGGCTAGTTATAAGGGTTATGTGTTGTGTATGGAGGATGGTTTTTATTATTGCTTTTGGTTAACTATAATTCTCTTCTATTATTGTGGCATTTCTTGTCTTTTAATAAGCATTTATGTTCCT